GACGTGTCTGGGCTGCCCGCTGCCCGCGTGTTCCGCCGCTTTGCTCCCCGTCCCCCTGGTCTGCAGACCAGGGAGACGGGGAGCAAAGCAGAGCAAAGCCCCGGAGCACGCGGGCGGCGGACAGCCCAGACGCGTCTGGGCTGCCCGCTGCCCGCATGTTCCACCGCTTTGCTTCCTCTCCCTGGTCTGCTGGAGACCAGGGAGAGGGCCCCGTTCGTAAGTGCGGATCCGACATAAGTCGGATCCGCGTAACTCGGGGACTGCCTGTATTCTCTACCTAGACTTAGAGCCCCACGAAGCACTGGGGAATAATTACTTTGAATGACTCTGGAGAGTAGTTATTTGGAAATAGCAGCAGCTGAGCATCCACACTAACCTTATTTCAAAATAGCAATTTTGAAATAGGCGTTATTCCTCATAAATTCAGGGGTTGTTATTTCAAAATAACAAGCCCATTATTTCAAAATAATTTTGGAATAATGGGCTTGCTGTGTAGAAGCTTGCCTTGTTACTCTGTAGTGTAGACATGCCCTTTGTGAGAGCAAAGGGGACAAGGAGTCATAACTCCTAGAGTTCTAGTCCTGGTTAGAGCATAGACTTCCTGTGTGCCCTTAGACAAACTACTTGGTCTGTCCAGACATTGATTTGACCATCTGTACAATGGGTTTAATGATGTTTACCTTCTTCATAGAGATGATCAATATTTGTGAAGTGCTTTGAGCCCCTTAAATAAAAAGCTCAGGCTGTTCTCAGTAGAGGTTCCTCGCCCATCAGATTCAAGTTGGAACTCCAGTTGAGACTGAGTCTTACTACCTTACAGGCACGTCAGAATCATTTCTTTCAGCAAGACCTCCCTTAAGAACCTTCATGTTGCAATGAGATCATGGCTGTATGATGTGAGAAATAAACTCCACATATCTGATTTTTCTTGAGTAATCCACTTTCACCATTTAGGGGAGCAGTGGTACATCTCTTCCACAATTAAATGTATTGTACATAATGACACACCCAGTCTTTGGGGACAGACCAGTGTTCACTATAAGCTGTGAACTTTTGTAGCCACTTAGAAGCATTTCAGATGCTGTCCAACTGATCAGCAGAGCACCCACAGCTAGGTTTTTTTTATTTATACTGGTGGTGCACATTCAGACATGCCTCAGTGCACATAAACAAATTTATTCCACAAATAGATGAAAAAAAATCTGCACATGGATGGAAAAGATTAGAGGGAATGCTGGGATGGACATCTGAGAAATTGACCACAGTATTATAGGTGTGATTTACATTCAGCTATATTCAGTATTGTAGCTGCAAAGTCAAGTGCTGAACATGAACCCAGACTAAAAACAGAGGCCTTTTCATGATATGTACCATTAGGATAAGAATGCATTATCTCTTGTTTTGTAGGAGAACGTTTCTTTAGTCTGCTGCCTGCTTCTATTCACACACAGTAAACAAAAACTATTTTAGTGAGCTAAAATATTTATTTTGGGAATACGGCTGGATGCATTTTAAGAGTACAATCAGGTTGATTATTTTCAGGTTCTGCTACTTACATGATTTATTTTTATAACACTAAAGAACCAAAAGCATCCTAAACACCATTTTTTAAAAAAAGAAAGACATCTGTTTTGAATTACTTCCTTCCTAACTTTTCCAGAATTACATGAAGCAGAAAATATAATTCAAGCAACTAATCTGCTTTGCTTTTTAGTGAAAAAGAGCTAAAATTAAAAGGTCAATTTACTTTGAAAATGTTGATTTGAGCCACTTACTGATCTTCTGGTGCACTTGTGAAACACATAGACCAGAGTTCCATTTTTCTTTGGCTCCACTTAGTCCAAAGTCTGGAAATGTTAAATATATGCAAAGTTACAGCACAGTATGCCTGACATAGAATGTGTACTCTGAACATTTTATTTCTCAAGAGACTCTAGAAGATAATCCAGCAGAAATAAATCTTAAAGGGTTTAAAAATAAAATCTACTATCTCAAGCTCTGCAGAACAGATATAATTTTTCCAGAACCGTTTGCATATATAGCTTGCGGGAATGGATAAGAACACTAAGCACATAAAAGACTTAGTAACTCAGGACGTACTAATCACAATTCTAAGACCGAAGATACTGGATTCCAATCCTTGTAATAGGAGCCGGATGCCCTCCACATGCCAATATCCTCACGCCACTGAAGTGTTATGCTGTGCGAGGTGCTGTTTTGCTATGCATGAGGTTAAGTAGCAGATGTTCACTTTGTGGATATAATCAAAACTATGATTTATTTCTCCTCCATATACAGACTTCATTTGCCACCCAAGAGTTTGTTTTGTAATTAGCTGTCTGTGAAAGTTCATATATAATGAGAAAAATGTATTTGGAAATTTGTGATGGGAATAGGGCTTTTGGTGTCAAAGTCATGTTTTATTTGTTTCTTCTAAAAACAGATGCGTCTTTAGTGTCTGTTTCCTTTTTTTTAAAGTTTCCCTGTCACAGCAGTATCCTAATAGGCTTAAGTCTGATATCATTTTTCCCCCTCATAGTTAATGCCAGTTTCAGGTGGCAAAGACAGATGAATGATAGCAGTTGACAAAATCCTCCCAGAACACCTGCCAGCATTTTTTTTTCTAGAAACAAAATTTTGGTATTATTCATTAATCCCACTGAAAGGTTCAGCCGGATGCTAAATTTGGTACATTGCATTTCTAAAGCATGAGAGACAGTTACTAAAAAAACTGCTTTATTATAGCCTCTGCTCCATCTGTAGGTGAAACTGGTCCACCTACTGCTCAGATCCTGCTTAGCATGAACAATATAAACCTGGCCTTCAACCATAAT